ACAGTTGGTGGGAGGGCTGTGGGGGAGGGCAGGATGATGCGGACATAAGAAAAGATAGATTGCACCCTTCCTGCTGGCAGAGAAAAGCAAAGGCATGCAGCTTTGAATTCTTCAGATTGTACAGCGGTAGACGCTCAGTATTTTGGAGTCTCCGATCCTGAAATCCCAGGATGTTGTGGAGTGGAGTTCCAGAATCTAAGAAAAACTCACTCTGACAATCTAGAGTTGAAAGGAGCCTTTGAGGTCACCAAATCTATGAGTTAACAGCCTGATGTCCCCACCTCGCCCACTCAGTCTCCTGCTCCATGGTCCCCTGAGCACAACACACTTTTATGGAAGCAAAGGCAGTAAAGACATAAAATAAACACTTGGATTTTAACTGCCTCTTTGCCCCTGCATGGGAGCACTGGTGTCCTGGCTGCTCAAAAGGCCCTGTCTTCACAGGGCAGCCTCGTGGCTGTGGGGAGGGCTGGTTCCTCTGCCAGCCTAAGTGGGGGGTGTCCAGGACGGTCGTCCTGACCTGACACCTCCTGCTCCTCCTCCTCCTCCTCCTCCTCCTCCTCCGTCAGTCCCCGCTCCATCTCAGCCCTGGGGCTCAGCAGGCGAGGCAGTGGGGACCAAGAGGCCGATAAGGAGAATGTCTTCAGCAGCCACCAGCCCAGGGAGCCAAGCGGATATTGATTTGGTCTACGGGAGCGAGGGGACCTGTTAAATGTGCGGCTGTTAATTTGCTCTGCCTGAAGCCAGCCATCTCTACAGGCAGTGGAGAGTCCAGCTGACGGCAAGCACATGGTGGGGTGGTCTGAGACACCCCTGCCCTAACCTGCCAGCCCGGGGGTCTGGCTCTGCCCTTTGCCACTGTGCTGCCTACAGGCCCCCATCTCGCCACACCCAGGGCCATGCAGTGATCACACAGCAGCCGCCTTTGCTTCCCTCTCTATCTCTGCAAGTCCTGCTCGGCTCAGCTTTCCTGACCAGTGCAATGGCGCCTCTTCTCTTCCCTGAAGTTTTCCTGACCTTCCACTCCCTGCTCCTGACACCCTAGAAAAGCAGGATGTTCCTCCCAAATCCACTATAGTGCTGAGAGCTGTGGGGGCCCCAAAGAGGGACACCTGGCCCCCTCCCCTCACACAGGTGGGGCCTCAGAGGCACCAGGGAAAGGGGAGCAGCTCAGTGGGGAGGATGGGGCAGGAAAGTGTGGATGAGCTGGGGCCTGATGGGCACCCCCACGCCCACTGCCTGGACAGCACTTCCTGGTCCCCACGACAGACATCAGGACCTACTCGATCCTATATTACTCCCTCTCTCTCCTGTGTGACGCCAACCCCCACTTAGCTATCAGTGTCCACCTTCATCCATGGGATGCCAGTCATGGAGGCTGAGAGCAGGCTCAGGAGTTGGAGCCAGGCAGTCTGGGGTCTGAATCCCAGCTCCGCCATTAATGGCTCTGTAATCTTGGGCTAGGTGCTTCCCTCTTGGAACCTGTGTCTTTCAGTAAAACAGAAATACTGTCCTTTAGAAGTTGTGAGAATTAAGGCAATGGCTGCAGAAGTCCAGAGAGGGCCAGTGGTTTCCTGGAGTCACACAGCAAGAGAGTAGAAAAGATGATGGGGTTAGCCTAGACCTCTCCCTACCCCATCCAGCCACTCTCAGGCCAGAGGCCTGGTCTGGGTGTCCCTGGCAGCTGGCCTCAGTGGCCTCAGGAACAACAGACCAGGGCTTGTTTGGGCTGGGCTTGGGCCCCCCTTGGTGCTTCTCTGGCTTGAGCAGCCTCCCCAGGAGCCTTATCTGACCATTCTCTCCTTTCCCACCAAACTAATCTCTCTGTCTTTTCAAGAGTTCCTGTTTCCTCTCTGCCGCCTTCTTGTCTCTCCCATGACTCTGGTCAGTCCCCGCCTCAGTGTGGCTGGTGCTATCATCTGGGGCGTTTCCATCTCTCCAGGTCTCTTGGGGTCTCGCAGAGCCCTGTCAGGGACTCCTGCCCTTTATGCAGGAGGGAGGGGGAGTGCACCCGGGTGAGAAGTCCTGCTGTGACAGGGTGCTGATTTCCCACGAATCAGCTCCCAAGGCCTCCAAGTCCTCTGAGCTGAACATTGGCCCAGGCCTCTGCCTGGCATCCAGTGCCATGGTTTGAAGGTTTGCTCAGAAACTCCCAGGTACCAAGATTGTGTGGTTCTAAATCAGTTCTGGAGCTGCTGGGGCCCTAGGGTTCCAGAGCCTCTGGGTGCTGTGGGTCACATTAGAGGGGACCCAGCCCCACCTCACCTGAGTGTGAGGCCAGCAGCTGCCTTAGAGCTTCACCTGGCAGGATGAGGAGCTGCCCAGGAATCAGCACCAGACCCTCTCAGTTGCCCAGCCCCTGGCCAGCTAGAAAGGTGCAGGGCTTCATCACAGAACTAGGGGTTGGCCAGCAGCAGGTACATAAGGCCTACTGAGTCAGGGACAGCCAGGTCTCCCACCCCAAGCACCGAGGGCTGCCCCCTGGCCTAGGAAATGTCTTCTGCCTTCCTCATCACTCCCACTTGTGCCCACTGGAGAGAGGACGTGTGAGAAAGGACACATCTGGGCTCAGAGCCCCAGGCTGTGAACCTTCCTTGGGATCGGGGGAGCCACCATTCCCCCCAGAGCCTCAGTTTCTTCCTTTCCTGCCGGGATGGAAGCTGTTGTGAAGAGTCCTTGTGACAGTGTGTTGGAATGGTATACAGCAGGTGCACAATAAATGGTAGCATTTACAATTATGTCTGACCTTTCTGAGAGCCATTCTGGGTGTCTTTGGTCTGGTTTCCACCCTTGTGTTAGTTAAGGTGCAAAGGACACCCTCAAATTCAACATTCCCAAAACATGTTTTGCACCCATTTCCCAGGGCCCAACAGATGCATGGGGCTGGTCCCAGCCCATGTGGAATCCAGACTTGCCGGGGAGGCAGATACAGGCCCTGCACACGCTGTATAACATCCCATATCAGCACAAAGTCAGGGAGCACAGAGGCTGTGGGAAGCCAGGAGAGGCCATGGCCTGGACTGAGGGTGGTCAGGAAGGGCTTCCTGGAGGAGGGGGCTATTCACTTGGGTCATGTGGGAGGGCAGGGCATTGCCCAGCCTCTGGAGGATGAGCATGATATGGTGGTTACCTGAAAGATTCAAAGGGTTGTGGAGAGCCCAAGGAGGGAGCGGTCCCTCCCACTCGGGGCTCTGGGGTGGGCTTTGTGAGAAGGGCTGCAAAGGCAGGGATTCCAACTGGGACAGTGACCCTCCAGGCTGTGCCCAGAGGCAGAGGCGAGCTGGCAGGTCACGGTGCTGGTATTCGGCACTGTGGCTGGCAGTGCATACTCTGCTGTGGCTGGAGCCACACAACTCCTGGGAGTTGCAGGAAATGGGCTGGAGGAGCCTGTAAAGGGATGAGGGCTCACGTGCCTGGGTTTGTGGGGCCCACGAACCCTAGGAGGGGGAGCACACTCCAGGGGTAGCAGAGGCAGAGGTGCTGGCCAGCCCTGGTTTGAAAGTCTCCCACCTCCACCTCCACCTCCACCTCCAGCCCCTTATCAGCTCTGTGACCACAGGAAAGGCCCTTCCCACCTCTGATTTCCTCATCTGCAAACCAGACCTAGAGGGGACCATATCTGGATGTTCCTTCCAGCCTGTGATTCTGTGACTCTGGCCAGCCCCACTGCCAGCTTTTAGGCAGAGCTTGGAGGATGAGTCCAAAAGCCCAGGCTCTCCCCACCCTGGGTCTGGTTCAGGCTTCATCTCTGCCATCTCACCGCCAGGACGACCTGCTTCACTCACCAAGTCCTGCCCAGCCTCTGAGACTTCCTCAGTCTTTAGCTGGCTCTGCAAGGGGAGAGCCCAGCCCTCAGTGTCCACATATAGGAGCCACACACAAAAACCATCTAGAGCATTCTTTTGCAACCTTTGTTTTATGTGGTCTCCTGATGGGCAGAGCAGGCTACAGATGGGTAACAGCTCTTCCATCTTGGGGTGCCCACCATGGGCACCCTTTGCTCAGGGCTTGTTCTGGTGCTGTCCACTGCAGGAAGTGACATTGAAGCCCGTGACTGTGGCAATCCTGCTCCCCCTGGGATCCTGTCAGGACTCTTTACCTGGTCTCCTGCCACCTCCCTGTTTCTCTGTATCCTTTGTTCCTTTTCCTTGACATCTCTCCAACCTCCACGGTAGAAGCACTCCAGACCAGGCCTTCGTTCTCTTCCCTTTTCTAGCCCACTCGCTCCCTTAGTGTCTCTTCCACCCTGGACTCTCCCCAGAACTCCAGGCCCATGTTGGCCCATCTACGCAGTGTATCCACTCAGAGCTTAAGTGACATTGTGATCTACAAGTCCAAATCTGAGTCCCTGTCCTCTCTCCTGGCCACCTCCTAGTCAGCCCCGCCATTCTTCCAAATGTTCCTGTCACCTAACACCCTACGTGAGAAAAGAAAATAAATCTTGGTGGCTCCACCTTCAAAACAATTAGAATCCAGCAACTTGTTACCACATCCACTGCCACCAGCATGGTCCAGGCATAAGAGGCTGCAGCCTTTCCCAACCTCCAATCTTAGTCAACATCAGCCCTGTTTTACAAATGGGGAAACTGAGGTGGAGGAGGCCTCCCCATGGTTGCACAGAAAACCCAGCAGGGCTAGCTGGAGCCTGGGCCTGCTACCACCTCACAGGAGCAGGTCCCCAGCTCCCAGGGGTGGGTTTGCTCTTGCAGCTGTACTAGCAGGTCTGACCACAAGGCCCGGCTGCACCGGCATGCCTGTGAGTGTCCCGGAGGAACAGAGACCTGCCAGCTGGGTTTATGTTTCAAGACGTCTGCCCTCACCCTTGACCAAGAGATCTTATAGGGAAACTGGGGCCAAGGCCGGGTGTGGGGGGAATGAGGAAGAGCAGGGACATCAGTGGGAAGCCGCCTGCCTGGAAACCAGAGAGTCCTCCCACCAGCCCCAGGATCTGCCCAGTTCACTTGGGGAGGCCAGAAACTGTAGAGCAGGCTGGGGATCGTTCAGCATTTATTTCATACAGCTGTTTAAAAAGCTTGTTTAAAATATAGATCATTATATATATACATTTATATATAAAATATATAAAGAAGAACTGAGGTAAACCACCCCAAAGAAAAAGCTATGTTTTATAAATATTTCTGTAGCTCCCACACCCCAAAGGAAAAAAAGAAAAAAACCAACAAAAACAAAAACGAAAATCAAAAACCATTTACAATCCAAGCTAGTGGTTCCATGTGGTGGGCCGAGGGCCCGGCAGAGCATTCCTGAAGCCCGGTGTCCTGGCCCTGAAAGGTCAAGTCCATAGTCTCACAATCCCTTGCTCCTGGCTCCTTGGACCAGCCTGGAAGGCAGCGCCTGGGCACTCCAGGGCCTGAGCTGCTAGGTTATTTTTAATCTTGTCGGTTTCCTTTGATGTCCGGCTCTCCTTCCAGAGTGACCAGGCTTTCTGTCCCCAGTAGCTTCCAAGGGGGTAAAGCCCTAGCCTCCTGCCACGCATGCCGGCATCAGGAATTCGAAAGGAAAGGTCCACGGGGTGTCTGCTGGCCCCGCCCTCGCTGCGCCGCCCAGAGTCCTCACCAGGGTCCGAGCCCCTGCCTGGTGGAGGTCGCGCCCTCACTTGCAGACGTAGCGCTCCACTGTGCGCTCACACCTGCGGCAGGTGACATAGCAGCACCAGTGGTATTTGCAGTGGCACCGCTCCACCACGCGGTCCGTGTAGGGGTTGTAGCCACGCCCGCAGCACATGAGGTCGCAGCTGTCACTGCCGTTGGAGGTCTTGTTGCACTGCCTGGAGGGTGGGGAACAGAGGACAGAGTGCTCAGTCCCCCAAGCCCAGTGCTGGGACTCCTAGCCCAGCAACCGACAGCCTCTAGGAGGCTTGAGCTCAGGAATTTTAAGTAACCCTCTTCCCTAGCGGTGCTTCTGCCTTCTTCCTGTTTCCAATAAGCTGTTAACAAAATGCTTTGGGTCTTCTGTTTCTGGAGGTATCTTGTTTCCATTTCTTCTAAATACTGGAAGGCCCTTCAAACCTGTCTAATCATCCTGCCTCCCTAGTTAATCTTTACTTATACCATAACAGATGTGAGGTTTACTTTTAGAATCCCAGGAAAAATTCTGAACACTAAAGATGGCACTGAACTCAAAACAAAGTGAGCTTGGGCACTGTTAGTGGGAGGAGGGGGCCTGCTGCCATGGGTTTCCCAGGGGTTGTGTATGTCCCTTCGGGATTTTATCTCCTTGGAGGTATGCAGGGTCCTTGGCTGGGTGGAATCACTGTGCCGTTACCTGATGAAACAGGCTCAGCTAAGGACAGAGGCCACTCCAACTCTCACCGATCCCTGGGCAAAGAGACTTGCATTGCATGGCACCAAAGCCACTGCGAGCCTTCTTCTCCTGAGCCACACAGAACACATGTCTGACAGCAGGAATCTAGGGGGAGCAGACAGGGTCAAAAGGATCCCCACAGCCATGTGGACAGAGGCACCCTAGAATGTCCAAAATGGGCAAGCCTTAGAGATGACTGAATCCAATCTTCATCTTTATTGATTGGGAAATTAAGGCAGAGAATGAAGATAGGGCTTGCCCAAGGTCACACAGGCTGACCACAGGACTTGTGACCGCTCAGGAAGGCTTCCTGGAAGAGGAGGGGCTATCTAGGCCAGGCCATGTATGAGCGGATGTCTAAAGGCAGAGAGGGGGAGGGTGTGGGGGATGGAAGGAGGAGCCCAGGCGAAGGAAGGCTAAGGACCTGATACAAGAACGGTGAGAAAATGGAGGCAGGAAGAGGCTGGGCCTGAGCGGGAGGGGCCCTGGGGTGAGGGAAGAGAAACCCTTGGAGAGAAAGTCAGCAGGTAGCCTGTATATGGGTTGTAAGCAGGAGAAGTGTCAGGAAGAACACATGCCCTAGACCAGACAGACCTGGGTTCCAACCCTAGCTCTGCTTTTTACTGGCTGTGTGACTCAAGCCCCTTTTCTGGACTTTGTTTAGCCATTCAACACCATGAGTCACCTGAAGCCCATCCTGTAGGTGACCACACCACCCTCAGTGGCAGGAAGTGGGCCGAGTGCCTTTTCCACTGCTTGATCCTTGGCATGCAATATCTGAAACCTGGCTCCTAGCACCAGAGCCAGACTAGGCTGGGGTGATACCTGGGATGGGAGGTGGGGACTATCGGACCATGGGCCAGACCAGGCTAGAGGGATGCCTGGGAAGTAAGGGCATGGGCCAGGCAGGGTGGGAGGACAGTTTCCAGGGGCCTCCAGGAGAAACATGACAAAGAGGGCTGGGGCTTCTGAGGCCTCAGTTTCCCCGGGGAGGGACCAGCCTCTGGAGTGATGTCACCTGTGCCCATGGCTGAGCTGTTAACCAGACCCGCTCACCTCCAAACCACTGCATGCCCAATCCCTAACCTAATCAGCCACACTTCCCTCCTCCAGGAAGCCTTCCTGGATGTCCAGGCTGGGTCAGGGCCTGCTAGGCTGCCCTCATCCCTGGGCTTCCTTCGCTGTCACAGCTTGAGCACTTGAGGTCTCTCTCCACCTCCACTCTGCTGCCTCCAGCCAGATCTCACTCCTTCCTATCTCCCTGGCCTGACCTGTTCCATCTTCACGCTGTCCGACTCCCTCAATCTGGCCTCCAGATGGGAGCTAGGCCTCCTCACAGAGCCTGTTGCCTTGGCTGTGGGGATGGAGCCCCCAAACCCGCCCTCCCCTCCTGGAGACAGGAACGTGGGCTCTGGAGGAAGCAGATGCTGGCTGGGCACCAACTATGTGCCAGACTTGTTCCCAGACACCCGCTCTCCATTCAATATTCCTCTAGCCCCACCGCACACCACTTTTGTGGAATGCTATTAGGGGCTCCTTAATAAAAGAGTTCCCTGGCCAGCACCTCTGGGAAACACAGGCTTAATCAGATCTTTACTACAGCTTCCTCGGGGCCTACATAGGACAGTATGTCCTGTGCCTGGTGCATGGCCCTGGAGTGCATCCCAGGCATTTCTGACCGGCTCTCTGTTCTAGCGGCTTAGGACTGGCTTCCTCCAGAAGATGCTCACCTGCTCCACCCAGCACACAGTAGGTCTACAGCCACCACCGGCCCCCCTCCTGCTGTCCTGGGTCAGGATGAGGCCATCTGTGGGGAGCCCAGCCCTGGCTCTGAAACTGGGGGCCAAGAGAGCCCCTGGGAGGACACATGAGGACTTGGGGACTGGGAGGAGCACTCATACATGCCAGGGGACAAGAATGCAAATTTCTCTGCAGAAGCCAGACAGATCTTGCTCTCCTTTGCCTCTGCAGACTTCCCGGGTGGTCGTGGCGGTTGCTACCTCCACTTTGCTGTGCCTCTCAGTTCCTCTTTGGTCCACAGGCAGATTGTAGGACATTTATCCTTCATCTGTTCATTTGACGAACATTGCTGAGCACCTGTTTTCTGTTGGTTGGGCAGCCTCCTCTTCTGTCTCCTGATATAGTCACTGCCTCTCCGCAAGAAGGGGAGGTGGGGTAGGGGCGCCTACAGCTTCCATCCCTGGGACCCCTGCCAGGGTGAGGTCCACTCAGCTTTCCTCGGGCCACCCCCTCCATTTAGCTCAAGTCCCCATGTGTGCCTGGTCCTGAGCTGGGGCACAGTGTCTCTTGGGGGCATGCAGCACCTTACCTGTCTTGTGTCCCATGGGATCCCACCTTCTCATTCTTCATGCAGAAGTCGGGTGAGCTCTGCAGATAAACAAGTTCCGAGTCCTTCACAGGCCGGATATCCAGGTCCTTGGGCACCAGGTGCTTGCGGGTGCCCATGGGTCGGTGCACAACCTTGGTGGCTGAGAGGTAGCGGGTCTTGAGGTCAGCAGCCACGTCCCGGAGCTCTGGCAGCCCCTTCCAGCAGGTGCGGATGGAGCAGGAGCCTGACACCCCGTGGCACTTACACTTCACTTCCAGAGAGGCACGCAGAGCCTGCAGACAGTGGGGGTGTCGGGCGGAGTTGCCAGAGCCTGGTCCCCCACCTGCCCGAGGACCCTGGGGCCCCACTGCCTGGATGGGTGCTCTCAGCAAGTCTTTGCCCACTTGATCCTCAAGGCATCAGGTGTTTAGCTCAAGGGCTGGGAGGTCGTGTAGGGTGCAGCTGAGAGGGGCAGGGAGAGCGTCGCATTCTCAGGGATAATGGGAGCCCTTGTCAAGTACCTTCTGTATACCAAGTGCTCTACACATAACAGGGGTCAGTCATCGTCACAGCCCTCCCAGAAAGTATCACTATTTACCCCACCTTAAAAGAAGAAAAGAAAGTTCAGAGAGGCTGAGTCTCACGGCCAGTGTTGCTCAGCTAGCAAACCGTGGAGTTGGGAATGGAAGCCAGGCCTGAGGGTGATTTCAAAAGCTGTGGCTTTTGATCATCTATGCCTTCTCTTTCCCACAAAACTGGAGCTGGATGTGGTGGTGGACGCCTGTAATCTCAGCATTTGGGAGGCTGGGGCAAAAGGATTGTGAGTTTAAGGCCAGCCTGAGCCACATAGAGACCCTGACTCAAAATAAAAGAAAGAAAACAACCTGAGCTCACGAAAGGCTTGTTGAAAAGTGGGGAGAAAAGAAGGGAAGGAGGGAAAGGAGTTGGGGAGGAGTGGGAAGGAGGGAGGGAGGGAGGGAAGAAGGGGCAGAGCGAATGTCTGGGGATGCCTCCTTCTGTCCATCCCCAGCTGGCTTTCCCCCTGCACTACCAGGGCTCCTGCCAGGCAGCCCTCTGCAAGCACCTCACCCCTCCCCATCTTCTTTGGTGTAACGCGGGCACATTATTCCTGTCTTGCAGAGTGTGGTAAGGATGAATGGGATGACATACATGAAAGGGTGTGGTGAGCTATAAAGCTAAGTCAATATTGGTTCTGAAAAATCAGTCAACCCACTATGATGGAGGAGGGAGGCTTGGGCCCAGGGGCTTGAGTAGACTCTAGTCTTGACTTCAAAAATGATTTGGTCCCACCACCTTCCCTGGGCCTCAGTTTCCCCATTTGTGCCTGAGGGGCAAGAGTTAGAAGCCTTCTGAGGGCCTTTCTATCTAAGCTTTTAAACTCTTTTTTGCAGAGGACTCACAGCTCTTGCCCAGACCTGTCCTGTCTGCCCTCCTGCCTGCCCTATACAGAGAGCTCAGAAGGTTCTGGGTCATCAGGGCCCACTTTCTGCACGGGCAAACTGAGGCACAGAGTGGGCATGGACTGGCCCCAAACTACTCAGTCAGTGAGTTAGTGAAGGGCCTGGTTAAAGTCCTGGGTTCCTTGTCCCTCATTAGTGGCAGAGAGTAGGGACTGAAGGAGTCCATCTGGATGGAAGAGCTGGAATTCGCTAAGCAAGGCCTGTGGGAGGCACAGGACTGAGTGAACACGACTGCAGGCACCTGCCACTGGGAGTCACCTGGGGAGGGAGAATCAGGCTCAGTTCCTGAGTGTAAGATGGGGAATGGCCTGGAGCTCCTGAGGCCACCGTGTGCCAGAGCTAAGCCGCTGCATTTGTGATCTCGCTGACTCTTCACATGGCCCTGCTGGGGACAGCAAGCTCTCCACAGAGGGCCCCGGGGACAGGCCGGGTGCGCCTGAGGGTGAAGTTGTCTCTGCACACTGGGGTGGGCAGTCTGTGCTCCTGGCTACCAGAGGCTCAGGGCTGGCCAGGGCGGTATGAAGTTTAATTTTCAAAAACGGAAACAAACTGTCCATTCACCTCTGCCCTCCCTCACCCTTTCAATGAGGTGAGAAATACATGAGCCACTGATAACAGTAGATGGGGAACTGCCTTTGGGAGGCTAGGCTGGGTTTGTGGGGACTCCCCACTAAATCCAAGGAGATGATTCCTTAGTAGGCTCCGCTGCCCACAGACCTCTCCATGCCCTGGAAGAAGGGCTGAGGAACACGTCAGAGAGGACTGAACCCCAATCCCCATTATATAATGGGAACAACTAAGGCCAGAGAGGAAGTGACTTGCCCAACATCACTTGGTGAGTTCAGAGCCAGAGCCAAGGCCAGAGCTCAGAAGTCCTGTCTCCCACCTCAGTGGTTCTTCTGCCCCGACAACCAAATCCTGGGGGAGCCCCTGGGGAAGAAGGGCCAAGCAAGCCCCAAGCGCTGGAGAGGGCAGAGCTGAGGGAGGTTGCAGGTGATGGGAGCCCACCCCCACCCCTCCATCAGGGACACTGCTAGCCCCTTTCCAGCCAATGGCACAAGCACACCATCTGGGGCGGGTGGGGTGGGTGGTTACCTGTCTCCCCACTTCACTGTTGTGTAGACGCATCAGTTTATTGGCTTGGGATCCTGTTTTTTTCACCTTCATAGGAGCATCGGAAAACTTGGCCCCCATGAGGAGCCCGTAGCTGAGGTTGTCCGCACATCCTCCCCAGCGGTTCCCGGGCCCAGGTGGCTCACCTGGCACAGGGCCGCAGGAGCAGCCGGGCAGGTCGCCAGAGGTGCAGGCCCGGGCGATGGAGTGGCTGATGGTGGCAGCCGATAGCGCATACACGAAGGCTGACTCCCGGGTCCCTGTGGGCCCAGAGGTCGTGGTCAGCCAGGTGGGATGATCCAAGGATAGGACCTGGTACAGGTCTGAGGTCCTCCTCCCCACCCACAGTGGGCTCAGGGTGGTACAAGAGGAGGACTGCACTGGGGCCATTAATCTGTCAGCTCTTCTCCCCTGCTTCTCCCACAAGTACCTCAGCTAATCAGCACACTCACTCCCAGTCCCACACACCCACAGGCACACACACACACTCCTGCACACCCTTGCAGCACTCTGCTTTGGCCTCTGCTTGCCCCACACTAGTGTGTACGGGTGCTCTACAGAAGTGAAAACTCAGGCCCCGAGTGCCACTAAAAACTCTTGACCTGATGGGGCAGGCGAGTGTGCAGAGGGCCTGCTGTGGGGTGAACTATGTTCCCCTAAAAGATATTTCCAAGTCCTGACTTGGGGTACTGGTGAGCATGACCTTATTTAGAAATAAGATCTTTGCATCTGCTATGGAGCTAAGATGAGGTCATCCTGGATCTGGGGGGCCAGAGCCAGTGGCCAGCACCTTAGAAGAGGAAAGTCTGGACACAGACACACAAGGAAGGAGAACGTCTGGAGATGACACCTTACTCAAAGATTCTGCTGCCCACAGCCCCTGCATGCTTTGGAAGAAGGGCTTAAGAAACACAGTAGATGGAGACTGTCGTGATGACCCAGGCAGGGAATGAAGCACTGCAGATGCAATTCAGTTGACACCAAGGGCTCCTAGGAACAGGAAATGAAGGAGGGAGCCCTGCTGCCACTTTGACTGCAGACTTCCAGCTTCCAGAACAGTGAGACAATACATTTCGGTGGCTTGAAGTCAGCCAGTTTGTGGTACACTGTGACAGCAGCCCCAGGAAACTAACACAGAGCCAACATGCCTCACTAGGGTGTCCTGGCCCTGCGGATGGGCCTGGTTCTATCTCTTAACTAGAAGTTGCTTCCCCTTCTGGAGCCCCGGTTTCCTTAGCTGTAGAACATGAGATAATACCTACCTCTCGGGCTCGCCCAGGCCTTCAAAGAATTCAGGAAGGAAAGGAGCTTTGCCCAGTGCTGTACAGACATTAGCTGTCACTGTTCAGGATCCGTGAGAGAAGTTATTACAGTGTAGGGGACAGATGAGAGCCATGAGGGTTTCTGCCTGTCAAAATCCTCTCTACTGTACCCCAGTCCCCTGACCCCCCTCCTCCAAGAAGCCTGCCTCACAGCTGTTCAGTCCCTAACCCCTTTGTGAATGGCACAGCAGTTTCCATCAGTCTGGTCTGGGATGGGCTGGGGTGCACCTGCCTGCTAGAGGGTGGGCTTCGTCTGCATATTTTCCTCCGTGTAAGCAATGACCTCGGGGCATGCTGCAGGCCTCTTGGGTCCTTCACTCATGCGTGAATTAGGGCTCAGGCTGCCCTGCGCTCATATATTCACTCTTCCATGCTTCTGCCTTCACTAATTCACGCCTGAATGCCCATATATATGAATGACGCATCCGCCCGCACATCTATCCAGCCATGCCTGCCTGTATCCATCTGTGCTTCCATCCACCTCTTCACTCACCCATCCACAGGCCCATAAATCCATCCATCCATCCATTCATCCATCTATGAATACATCCACCTATCCAAACACACAGATGTGTGCTGGAATCCCTCCACCCGCACCACACATATTCAGCAGCCCCGCAGCCCCCTACCTCTCTCCAGGTCAAGCAGGTAGTTGGGGGCAAGCTCGATGGAGGAGCAGTTCCAGCGCATGTCGGCGAAGGCCCTGCGGCAGGCCTTCATGACCTCGCGGGCGGCATGCATGATGGTGTGCATGAGCTCCAGGTTGCTGCGGCACAGCTGCACCTGCGCCGATACCAGGCCCTCCAGCTGCTTGCAGTGCTGCGTCTGGTTCAGCGCCAGGGCCGCTGGCGTCTTGGACAGTGCCCTGCACACCGCCAAAAACAAGCAATGGAAGAAAGACTGGCCACCCACCTGGCCCTGGCTTTCCCTTCGATGGACTCTGGAGCCTTTCTTGGAAGAGCCAGGATGCCAGGAGGGAAAGCAATCACCTGGCAGAGGAATGGTTCTCCCTCTAGCCTCTGTGTGACCTTGTGCACATCACTGTCCCTCTCTGGGCCACAACCATAACATAGGTTCACAACCTCCATCCTGCCTAGCCTATACGGTTGCACTAACAACAAACAGTTTTGCAATTCACAAAGTACTCTCATCTACCACAGCTGCAAATTATTACTTGATTCAACATTTATTCAGCACTGAGGAGCTGTGTATCAGCAACTGAGTCAACTGCTTGATTATTATAATCATAATAATTATACATACTATTAATTGAGCCCTTACTATATGCATAACATGACTGAGGAGCTTTCCATCATTGTTTCATTACTAAACCCAGTTATTACGTTGTAAAGTCCCCATCCATGCAAAGAATTTCCATTGAAGGATTGAAGGGCACTCACTTTTGTGATGACCAAAACTTGGAAATGTTTGTTTCTAATCCAGATTTTGCTGTTAACTTGCTGTGTGACCTTAGATAATTCACTGCTCCCCTGGCCTCAGTGTCTGTACCTGATTTCCCAGGAAGGGATCCAGTGAGACAAGGAATTTCCTATCACCATGCCTTTGCCCAAACTTGTCCTTATGCCTTTCCCCCTGCTCTTGTACTGAAATAAAGAAGTGAATTTTGTCTACCTGTGGGAGAAATGTTTACTAAGCGCTGACTCTTTCCAAACTCCTTTGGTAACGAACATGGTTTAAATCCTCCAGGATCCCCTAGACTCATGACTGGATCAAGCTATCAACAGCAAGAAGCCAAGGACCCAGCTGTTCTGGGTCCTGGCCTGGCCCAGGAAAGGCACAAGCTTTGGGCACCAGCAGTGTGGCCTGGGTAAATTACCCAACTTCTTTGAGCCTCATAATTCTCATCCATTAACAGTGATCATTTCTACTTCAAAAGGTTATGGAGAGACTTAAATAAGACAATGTATTCATGGCATTTGGACTATTCAGACGTGAGGCTCCCCAGCCTGTGCCAGGTGATTCTTGGATATGAGGAAGTGAGTAGACCTGGCTTCTAGCACAAGCTCTGCCCTTGGTGCACTATGCAATCTTGGGCAAACTGCTGCTTCTCTCTGAGCATCTGCTACAAAATGAATCAGAAAATATGCCCACACTCCTCAGTATGTTCATTTGCTTTCTCCTACCTCTCACTCTCTGCTGTGCCCCACTCACTCTATAACCCTCAAATATACAAATCTAATATAGACCCAGGAAGCAGGCCGAGGGCAAGCAGGCCTGGCCTGGTGTCTGTGGTTGGGGCGCTCTAACAGCTGTCTGAGACCGACCGTGGGTGGCCTGGCCAGTCCCCCTCACTGTGGTCCCTGGCCTGATTCCACACTCCAAGTCATGAGCAGGGAGATGCTGGGTGTGTCTGGGTGCCACAAAGTGGCCTCGGACACAGCTTCCTGACCTCACCTTCTAGGGGACTCGCCTTCCGAGAGCCCTGACTGGGTGGGCTTTGACCACACAGAGGCAAATGTCGTCACCTCTGCAGGGTCCCAGTGTTTAACAGCCCCCACTTCTCCCCAGCAAGTGTCCACGGGCCATGCCCACGTGTGCACAGCACTTCTCAGCGCTCACAGTCTCTCACTTCACGCCTCAGGGCTGGCCTGGGTGAGGTGATCATAAATGAGGGCGCTGAGGTAGAGCCTGGGGCAGCGCTTGCCCAGCACCCCTAGCCAGCCCAAGCTGCCCTGGGCTATCCACAGGGGCCTGCCCTGATCGCACTCTGCCCTCTGTTTTCGCCCGCTCCCTCCCCTCCGCGTTCAGCCAGCTTTCTCAGTTTTGAGTAGGAAAGATTACATGAGCAACAGCAAATCAAACATCTGGCCTCACAGCGGACATGCAGTGGGCACTCAAGCCGCATGCACTGCCACCTTCCAGGGCTTTCACCTAAGCTCCTGCCCTAGCCAGGAAGTGGGCTGATGGGGGCGAAGCTTTTCCTGCAGAGTGCAGGGCAGCAGCGCTTGAAGGCTGGGTGCTGCGGCTCTTGGGGATGGGAGCTCTGAGGTGCTGCTACCTGGCTCCCATTGGCTGGGGACCCTGGGGCCGCTCTGGGGTCTCAGCTCCCATCTGAAGGCAGCAGGCAGCAGCTTCCCTGAGAGGTAGGCTGGCGCCTCCCAGATGAGGCTCAGACCCTCTCAGAGGATGTGTGGGAAGTTGTTCTACGGACACCTGGAGGTGGGGGTGCAGCCAGCGCAGAGCCCCAGGGAGCTGCCTTGGGGGCTGAGGGAGCTGCTGGCTGGGACAGGCTTGCCAGCCCGGCTGGAGGGGAGCGGCTGATTCCCTGTGTGGGGGAGGCCCACCCACAGGAGCCCCAGGCAAGGCAGCAGACCCAACTGCCCAGAAGGGCCCGGTCATCTGGTAATTAGTGGTAATGACCGTTTCTAAGTAAACCCCCCTTGGGGAGGTAATCAAGGACTAAGGCAGCAGGCGAGGGAGTCACCGGTGTGGACATCTCTCCAGGCTTGCCTCACGCCAGCAGACCCCTAATTGGAAACATTCTGGTTTATCTAGGGGAAGGGGCATGGGGGAGCGGGTGGAAGAAAGGACAGGAGGGAACAGAGAGTTCACAGGCAAGGCTGTGCCAGTGGCTCTACATGGGCGGCCACAGGAGCTGGCTTTCTGGGGCTGGCTTGGCTCGTCCATTCACCTTCCATGTGACCTTGGCAAGTCACTGACCCTTGCCCAGCCTCAGTTTCCCCATCCAAAGCAGTCAGCGCCTATGACTAACGTGAGGCTCCCACTGCAAGGACATTTTACAGAAATACAAGTTGGACAAATAGCTATACCTTCCACCCATCGCCCAAGGGACAATCCTCCCTGTCTTTTCCATTCCACCAGCCCATCTCCATGCCTCCCCAGGAGGTTCTTCCCTCACTGAGGCCTCTGCAGGGCGACATATCTCCTGCCAGGCTGCTGCAGTCTCCTCACTGTGCCCTGTTAAGCTATTTTCCAGAGCTGCCCCCAGTAACCCTGCCCTCAGGCAGTTCTCGGGCACCTGGCCCAGGTAAGGCCACCTTCAGCCTGGGCCTCCTTCCCCAGCCCACCCATCACAGCATCCCTTTCCCCTGGGCACAGGGCAGGATGAGTTCTCAGCCAAAGACCTGGCATCCAGGCTTCAAGTGCCAGGGCCCTAAGGTGTTTCATTTGAAGTCCAGCTGCTCAGACTGCATGGTACCTACCCATCCATTAGCTGGTACATCCTTGGCAGAGGTGGGCTCCCAAGGCCTTGGAAGGGCCCCCACCAGCATACCCAGAATTAGCCTGGCAGCCCCTGATTCCCCCAAAGAGAGAGATGGGATGAGGTCAACAGTTAGGTGCAGGGTAGGTCCTGACATCAACAGCCGCACTTCCAGGATGAGGAGGACCCTGGGGAGGGCTGCGGGCTGGCTGGGGCGGGGCAGAAATCTTGCCCAGGTAGCCTGGTGGTTCTGCCTGTGTGGGCCAGGCTGACCTGGTGTACGAGAACAATGAAGCCTGAGGAAACCCTGTTCCCCAAACCAGATACTTGTGCCCCACCTACTTACTGCCCTTTGGGCTGTCCTGGGTCACACCTCGTCCTGGCACCCCAGAAGCAGGGAGGACAGAAGAACCCGGGATCCAGCAAACTCAGCCCCGCTCTGGGCTTCCATCTGCCCCCGGGGCGGCCTTGGGGAGCCTTGTCCTCTACTGCAAGTCATGATTCCTTGGTGAGGCCCTGCATCTAGGAACTGGGTCTCAGAACTATCCCCTTTTCCCCAGCCATGCCAGGCTCAGGGAGAAGCCCCCAGGTGGTAAGGCCTGAAAGTCCTTCTGTTCCCTCAGGGATCTGTCCCAGGGCTTCAGGGCCAACAGGAACCAGGCCAGCTCCTTTCCTACACTGAGTAGATGGGGAAACTGAGGCTGGTGAAGGGCCTAGAGCCTCCAGATCCCATCCTGCCTAGAATGCATTGCCAAGACCTTAAGGGAGGAGCTCCAGCTGGGGCTGTCCCCCATCTGGTGCTCCACTCCACTTTGCAGCTGTGATGTCCCTTTTATGCTCTCCTGGGACTTCCTGAGAGGCCCCACCCCTTTGTGAGTGGCAGGTGTGGGCCTGCCCAGGGTGGGGGCAGTCTTCCTGGGCCTCTCAGCCAACCTGGGCCTGACCTCCACAGGGCAGCTACCATGGCTCACAGGGGATGCAACCACCCTCTGCCCCTCCCCACCCAGAGCAGCCAGGGAGGTGGGCGACCCAGACCCCTCCCACATCTCCTGGTCTGGAGTTTCCTAGCACCTGGCTTGGGAGGAAAGGTATGGGAAGGGTTCGGGGTTTTTGTAGCCAGGTGCTCCTATGGGCAGGCAGGTCCTGACCCCGCTCCTACCCGCATCCCATCTGCTCACGCTGTCCCAGGTGCCCACCAGGTGGGCATCCCAGGTCACTGAGCCACATCTGGCTTCAGTCCCTATGCCAAATGTTCCTTTCATCTCCAGGTCACTTTCCAAAGCCCAGGGACTGCTCCAGGACAGCTAATTTTCCAGGATGGGTCCCCACCCTCTCACCCACATTGTCCCACTGGCCTAGGGCTTGCTGTGACCAACAGGCCATAGCAAGACTGCCCAGCTCAAATTCTGCCTCTATTACCCACTGGCTGGGACAACCTGTTGGTTACAGAACACCCTCATGCCCGTTTCCTCTTCCATATGAGTCAGACAATGGCTGAAGCCATGGCACAGGGTGCTAGGGAGATTTAAATGAAACCATATACACAGGCATTTAGAACTGCGCCTAGCAGGCAGCAAGCCTGTGTGTGTGTGTGTGTGTGTGTGTGTGTATGTGTTATCTATGTGCGCATGCATGTATTTATGTGCGCGCTCATACACATAACTTTTTTTTTTTTTTTTTTTTCAGTCCTGGGGATAGAACTCGGGACCTTGCCCTTGCCAGGCAGGCACGGTGCCACTGAGCTACATCCCCGGCCCCTACACACAACTTATTCTTTGTTTTGTTTGTTTGTTTTGTTTTTGATACTGAGAATCAAACTCAGGATCTTGCGCTTGCAAGGCAGGTGCCAGAACCACTGAGCTAAATCCCTGGCACATAACTTATTCTTAAACCCCACTCCTCCCACTTCTCTTCTACCTTAGCTCCAGCAAGAGCTTAGTCATTATCAAGAAATTTGGTTTCTTGGAGTCCATCAGTCTGGATTCTGATCCTACAGCCACCAGGAATCAGCTTTGAGACCTTGAAGGAATTACTTAACCTCTCTGTACCTTAATTTCCCTACTTATAAAATAATAATGCTAAAACTATCACCTACCACATAAGAGTAGTAAATCACATGACAGCTCTTGGAGCTATGTCTGGGCACTTACTAGCAGGTGCTTGTGGCTCCTGGTCCCTCCAAGCTTCCCTGAATGATGGTCCTGCCTCCACGATCTGCCTGCGGTGTACCTGGGATGCCCACTTTCATTCCATCTCTGCCCATCACAACCCTCTCTGCCCTCCCCAAGCGAGCCACAGTCACCTCCCTTGGGTGGAAGTGGCTGCACCTTCTCTGGGCTCCCATGCCTTCTCTCCCAGGACACAGACAACTCTCCGACACCTTGTATTTTTACAAGAGGCTGGGAGATGCTGAGTGTGCCCTCTTCTGTCGCAGCCGGCCTGTGTGGTACGGATAACCTGGTGTTGGGCTCAGCCAGCAACTGACCTGGCACAGGCCAGCTTGGGGGCTGCTATGAGTCACACTTCAGTACCCCTACTGCAGGGCAGGGATGACAGCAGTGTCTCCATGACTCTATGAGGACCCAATGTCACTCAAGTCCAGTTCCCGGCCTCTAGGGCTCCTTGTGCCTTTCTGCAAATCCTTTCCAAAAGGGGGTGGTGGGTGAGGGGTGCTTCCCTCACTGACCCCAGGTTCTGCTAGCAGGAAGAACGCTGGGTGCTCAGCAGGAGGAGGAAGGTGATGGCTTCTCGCAAGGATCACGAGGGACAGCTAGGAGGATCCCATGCCACAGACCACCAGGCCAGGCTTCTCCTTGCAAACAGGAAGCGCAAGAAAATGGGGTTCCACTTGAGTCATCAATTAATCGATAACTCAGCCCAGAAGGGGCAGGGCTACTGACCTCGAGAATGTTTGCTGGTGGCCCAGCTGCTATCACCCAGTCTTTCAGCTAATCCACAAAGCCTTCTAGGGCCCCTCCCCAGCCCCCATAATCGGTCCCCTGCTGTTTTATCTGCTTGCTCCCTGCCCTGCACCAGCTCCAGTCTGTCTTGGACTTCCCCACCTGGGGCCTTGCTCCTCCAACAGTGGGCTCTCCTCCCTAATGCCCCCCACTAGCTCCCACCAAATCCACAGCAGCCAGGGCAAACCCTGGAAAATCTCTCCAAAGTCCTGTTGTGTGACCTCCCTCCATGGCTGTCTTCCGCCTCTGGGCCCCCACACAGAGGCACAGGTCTCTCCTGGACACTTGGACATTTGTGGAGTTATTTACAGCCGGGGCTTATCTCTCCCAGCCCAGGGCAGCTCCTCCAGGAAGGGCTGGGTGTCACTCCTCTGTCCTGCACAGCCTGGACAGAGGGCACCCCCGTAGAGAGGAGGCTCTCCTACCACCTCGCAGGGGTGGCTTGGACCTACAGGAACAAGTGTCCACTCCTGACAGCTAAGGGTGTCTCTCAGGAGCCTCTTCTCCGGGGTCGGAGGAACCTGGAGATTACCCTCCTTCGACGGGGGCTCTCAGAGGCAGAGGGACACTTCCCCAAGGTCACCCAGGTGCAGGGGTCAAGACTGCCTTTGCAGACCTCCAGCTAGGGACAAGGAGGCTGAGCTGAAACGCTCCTGAGCTGCCCCCCTGCCTAGAGCAGACCCTCCTGACCGCATCCTTTTCCTTTTAGAGCTCCCCTTCGAAGGTCCGCAGCACCTCCTTTCCAGGACGCAATTCCCTCGCCCCACTTCGAAAGCCCCGGAGAGGTAAGGACGGCATTTTACACAGGAGGAAACCAACCGAGGCCTAAGGATGGCTTTCCCAACCCCCGAGTCGACTTGGGATCCTGGGTCTGGGCACGCTTGCTCAACCCACGGGGACCCCTTAACGCCCTCCGCTGCGCCCAGCCGCCCTCCCCGGCCTGTCTGTGGACTCAGGGTCCCTACTTACAGCCACTTGATGCCATAGCACACGCCAGTTTGGAGCGCCAGGGCGAAGAGCAGCGCCTCGCAGACCTGCGGCCGCGCCCTCATTGTCGCGCGGCGGGTGCGCCCCGGGTCGCACCCAGCAGGAGCAGCCCCGAAGTCCCGCCGCTGGTACAGCCACTGCCTGGTCCTGCGCGCACGCCGCCTGCAGTCGGGAGAGCAGGGCGGCGCGTTAAGGCGGCGCGCGGGCGGGCGGGAGGCGTCTTATTCAAATTACAAAGGAGGGGTCGCCCGGGGAGGCCGAGCGGCGCGCGCCCCTCCCGCCCCCTCCCCTCCCCCCTTCCCGCCCGCGTCGCTGGGACCCGCGGCGTCTGGCTTGAATTCGGCGCGGTCCAGGGGGAAACCCTGACACACAGACACCAACCGACCGGCAGAAGGGAGATGAGCAAGGGATCTTGGCCCCTTGGCCTGGGATCTGGGTTCTCATCCCCACGATATCATTAGCTAATATGGCCTTAGCAATTCTCCTGCCCCGCCAGGCCTCAGTTTACCTCTTCTGTAAAATGAGATGATTTGGGCACAATTTTTTTTGGTACCGGAAATCGAACTCAGGACCTTGCACTTGCAAGACAGGCGCGGCTCCACTGAGCTAAATCCCCAGCCCCAGCAATTCATCTTTTATAAAGAACGTTCTTCTAACATGTTTCTGCCTTTGCTTCTAGCAGCCTTAGGACAGACACTATCTCTGTCCCCATTTCACACTGAGGAAACCGAGGCCCAGAGATGTGAAATGGGATGTTCAGCTCAGGAGGTGCAGGTCAGAGCGTGGGGTTCTGCTCTCACGTCTACTGGTTTCCGGTGCGACCAGACAGGACATGAGGGCTTCTCTGGGCAACGGCTTTTCAGTCTGGGAAGGGGAGGATGAGAAACAGGGCGGCAAGATTTACTTGACCACCCGACAGCGGGTGTGTGGGATGTTGCCTGCGGCCGCCAGGAGGCACCCCAGGGCCTCCGAGGAGCCGCTACCCCTCCGGGTCGCAGCCCGCAGAGCTGCTTTCTGCGGCTTTTTCCCCTCTTCATTCTCACCTCATTAACTCCCTTCCCAGCTTCTCCCAAATTTACCAACACCTGGCCTTCGCCCAGAGTTATACACAGCCCAAGCCCCTCTCCCCTTGGGAGATACAGAGACAAAGGGATTCCTTTCTAACGGGTTTGCAGTTGGAAAAAGGAGGTGCCCGACCTCGCAGCGGGGAGGGCCGCTGGAGCTGGAAGAGAGGGTCCTCAGCTGACTCTCTGAGCTTTGACAAGCCCCCAACCACCCCAGCCTCAGTTTCCCCTTCTATGAAAAAACCGCACTGGACTTCACGCGTCTTTCCAGCCTCTCTACCTGAGCCTGTGAGCGCCCTTTCGCTGTTGCTACTATTACGTATACTTGTGTAGTATGTGCATGTGTGTGCTTTAAGTACGCGAGTGAGCGCGCGCGCACACACACAACTCCACTATTTTGGGGGGCCTTCTGTCATAACTCTGAGGAAGGCAAGGAGAGAACCCCAAATTACATTTTTGCCTCCTCCACACTGTCCCCCAGCGAAGCGCCCAACACAGAGGCGCTCAGTACAAACGAGTCCAGGCAGGGGCCTCAGCGGAGGTCTCCGTGTAGCTGAGCCCCTCCGTCCACCACGTCTGTCTCCAAACCCCTAGTCCTGGGAGTTTACCGCACTCCTCAGAAGGAGACAAATATCTGTTGGCTGGTTGGGGGATCGAAACTCCAGTCACTGACCCTCCACTTGTGCTCCCTACAAGCCGCCGAGGGTTCCTGGGCGGGGAGGAGGCAGGCGCTGTGCGCAGAAGGCGCGTAGACTTACAGCGGGGAACAGCGTCTAGCCTGACTCTCGCAGAGTCGCACAGGTCCCACAAGACGAAGACCCAGGCCTCCAGCTACTCCTTGCGCCGTCCGAGCAGCCCCAGCGGTGACGGCTTCTCGCTCCGCCTCCCTAGATCGCCGCTGGGGGAGGCGGCTCTTGGCCTGGGCCTCTAGTCCTGACGGATTATTCTTGTCCCATGTAAGAACCAGGACAGCCACGCAGGCTGCTGGGTCACCCTCAGCTGCGCCCGGCTGGTCAGCGCGCACTCGCCTCCCGGCGCCCCCGGCCCGCCAGAGGGCGCTAAGCCCCGGTTCCAGGTGGGATCAGCGGCAGCCTCCCGCACTGTGGGACTTTAGGCAAGACTTCTCTTCCTGCGCCGGGTGTCCCAGTCTGGGCTTGAGATGAAGTGTGGAGTGAGTGCCCTCTCAGTCCTGGTCGTTCTGTAGGACATCCACTTGCCTGCACTGCCCGGCCCCTTGTTTCAGGCCCTGCGCGGAGCCTCCCTGGGGTCAGGCTCACCGTGTGTCCGCGTCATAGCGCAGGGTCTATGGAAGGTTAGAGTTCCTTCCGACTCCACCAGGGAATAGGTCCAAGACACTCCACTTGCAGCAGGGTGTGAAAGGGGCTGCCCCAGGCTGTGCACACGCTGGACAGCGCGAGCAGCAGCCCCAACGCCGCGCGGTCAACAGGTGGCCCTAAGACCGGTATGGAGGTTTCTAGAAGCCCCGCCGCTCAGGCAGCCTCCATTCCGAGCCCAGCCGGAGAGATTTGCAAGGCCTTAGTTACCCTGATGCGCCAGTGCTGGGCCGGGACCCGGCGCCCCGCGCGGGGGCAGGATCCATTCCTCGAGTTAGGCCGGCGCCCGCGGATGCAGAAGCCTTGGGCAGCGCAGGCCTCAAAGCAGACCCAGGGACGCT